TTCACATACAACTTCAATTACAATTACTATCAGCCAGTCGGAGTTGATCCTCAGACCAAATTGTTTCAAAGCCAGCCTCAGCCGCGGCCGCCGGAAATTGATCGGCCGTATGTGTCGGAGCACAATTACTACCAGTCGGCGGGCGTTGATTCCCATCTCAAATTTTTTTGAAGCCAGCCTCATCCGCCGCCGGGAATTGGTCCGGCGTATGTGCCGCAACCAGTGGTCGTTCAATCCGCACAAAATCCTCTTGGCTATAAACCCCAACAAGGCGGTGCTAATTTATTGAACCAAAATGGTGTTGCTTATTTTCAGGATCCTAACGCAAGTCAACCAACTGTTATCTCGCCTTTGGATCCACTCCATTTGCTGTGGTATTTTTCGTTTTAATAAAAATATAATTTTTTGCAAAATTTGTTTTGTTTTTGTTGAGCAATGTGAAATTTAGTCTCTGAGGTAGATTAATTCTTCTAAATTTTGTGGGTCTTGTTATAGTGTTCTTTGTACCTGTGAAGTAGTTTTCTTTTGTGATTTTGTTAGGTTTTGTATGTTGTAACTTGAATTATGCTTAATGAGTGACCAAAATCAATTCCTTCAGAATTTGCGCAAGTTCTGAGATTGTCGATCTGCAACACCTCATTTATTTAGGCATTTTAATGCCACGCTGGCGTTCAAGATGGATGCAACTTATCCATTAACTGTTTTCTTTCATTTGGGCGTTCAGCATGCTGAACGCCATTCATTGATTTTTCCTTTTTTTTTTCTTTTTGTTGGTTTTAAATTAATTATTTATTCAAGCTCTTTATCTTTTGTTTGTATTTAATTATTTTTATCTATATCACATTTCCCGGATGATAACTTCAAATTTTATCTATATCACATTTTTTGTAATTCTACTATTTTTTTCTTGTGTAATCATAATTTAAGTTATTTTGGTCTCATAGTGTTCTTTTATTTTTATGTATTTAAAATTTATGGTTATAATTGTTAAAAATATTAAATTTTTATTTTTATTGAGAATAAAACATAAAAATTTATATTAATGAGTGGATAATGTGTTCCATATATGTATTTAAATGAATGGATAAGAATGTGAGTGTGTGTTTAAATGAAGAGAGATTTAATGAAAATATGAGTTGGATGAAGGATAGTGTTACATTTTGATTGAATGAATTGGTATTTGTGTATTAGGGTTGTAGATGGCCTTAGGGCATCTGCAACGGGGCATTAATTTGCCTCGGTTGAATGGCAGCTAGGAATTAATAAGGATGCGGGCGTTCATTTAGGAGGTGGTGCCCTTTTTCTGTTCATTTGGGTGTTTTTTTTATTTAATTATTTAGTCATTTTTATTTTTTAAGAATAGAATATTAAAAGTTATATTGAGTGAGTGGAGAATAGGTCCCACATATGTACTTAAATGAATGGATAAAAATGTGAATATGTGTTTTTTTTTTTTCCAAACGGTAGATATCTCATAAAACAAGAAAACAAGGACAATACAACTAGCACACACCCGAGATGGCCGCAAGGCCTAAGAGCAACACTAAAATAGTGTGCTAAAGATAACAAGACACTAAACATGGAACTTGAAGCTAGCAATAAACTAGAAAACTTCAGTCCCATAACAACACCAACATACCAAAGCAACACTAAAGGAAAATAGAGAAAAAAAACAGGGAGAACAACCGAGGCAAAACAAGCAGCCTCAAAACTGACAAAAACTAACTACCAACTAAAAACCAGAAAGCACATGCCCAAAGAAACAAAAGAAACACCTACTGAAAGAGAAAGGACCAAACACTGAAGCTTCAAACTTGGGATATTGCATTGAATTCCAACCATTCTTGCAAGGCTTTATTCACCACTATCTCTACTGGTATTTCCTCCTTGTTGAACATCCATAAATTTCTAGATATCCAGAGCCACTATAGGATATAGGTGGACAACTGGATTCTAGCCTCGGAGATGTCTGTATAGCTAATGGAGCAAACTTCCCACCACCAGTTTTTGAAAGTTGTGTGTCTAGTGGGAATTCCATCCCATAGAAGGGTGGACATCATCCACACAGCCTGGGCTCTTTAATGGAAAGATGATGTGAAACTGATGTGGAAGACAAAGAGTGTTAATTTTTAATTGAATGAATAAGAGGGTTGTGGATGCCCTTAATTGTGGGGGTTACTTTTGGTTTTCTTGATAAAACAAATAACAATTACCAAAATCATGAGTCTTGCCCCATTCTTTTGATGCAGACTAGTGCATATCCCGTGCGATGCACATGGTGCACAATTTTAAGGTTATTTACCCAGTGTTATTATTATATTCGTAAATAAAATAAATAAATAAGTAGAATAAAAAATATTATTATATATTATTAAAAACCTCATGGTAGACAATATCTGTTTCCTTGTAGGCACATCATTATCTCTGCGGACTAATATTTTCAAACTCTTTATTAGTGACACGGGAAATAACTACATATAATTAGCATGACTGAAGACCGACTTCTTCAAGAACATGACAACATGTGATTAAGACTGACCTTGACTCTTGTTAATCGTCATGGCATAAGAAACCATTAGAGGAAACTCCGTAAAATTATGAAAGGTACTCTAAAGTCAGAAAGTGCTAGTCATCCAATGTTTCAACACCTTCTCTCTTGCATTATATCCAGTCTATACCTTACATTCAAGCACATGGATTGAGAGTTCTTGACAACCAATCTCGTACCATTGACAACTCCATAGAACGTCAATGTTCCGCAACAACATGACTGGGTTCCTATCATGAGATTCAACTTATGGTTCAACACTCTAGAACATCTTATATTATTAAAAAAACTTGAGGGTGTGGAGATCAGACAAAAAATCATTATTGAATTCAAATTTGCACGTACTATCAGAGCTCAAGTATGTTTGACCACCAGTCACGTTCAAAGACGTCATGTACACATTGATATACTCAACCACCTCCAACGCTGGGCTAGTATAGCCTCATCCTTCAAATAACTCGGATCATCAGTTTCATGCTTAAAGATTGGATTATGTGCTCTCAACAATTGTAGCGATAAGATCGCCAGTGGGCTCCAACAATATATCATCATGTATCGGGTATATTAAATTAAATCGACAATATCAAATTTTTATTTATGTAAATCTCGCATGTTTTTTAGTTGTTTAATATGTTATACAATACCATTTTTTGTAAAATCTAGTAGGAATTTTGACTTCCACTCCAACCATTTATATTAAAAGATATTGGTCATATCATTATTTTTTTTATCATGCCAAAAATATCGAATCCAAAGCTTACCAAAAAAAAAAAAAAAA